GCTCTTCCGATCTAATCCTATCCCATCCCACCCCACAGAATCGCATCCCACGGAATCCCATCCCACAGAATCCCCTCCCACCCCACGGAATCCCATCCCACAGAATCCCACCCCACAGAATCCCATCCCACAGAATCCCATCCCACAGAATCCCATCCCACAGAATCCCATCCCATCCTGCTGCATCCCATCTCCATCCCCAGGGCCAGCCCGTGCCCTTGACCCTCTCCGGAGGCACGAGCGTGTCCCGGTGCCGGCGGGTTAATGGATTCCAATCCGTGGGCTCGAGGAGGAGGTAATTTCTTTTCTTTCATGTCTGCTAAATACGGTTCCTCAAAGAGGCATAATTTCTAATGTTCCGCATGACGGGAATTCTAACCGGGTTAGCAATGATCAGCTTCCCATTTACTCCTGTGTAATCTCTCCCTAACGACATTAAAAAATAAAAAAAATAAAATAAAATAAAATAAAATACAAGAGGGGAGGGCCGGTGGGGGGAAAGAGAGAGTTGTGGCCGCAGTTATTGCGCCGGTGACATTTTACGGGGGGGGAAGAGAGAGGAGGGGAAATGGTAATTTAATATAGATAAAAGGAACAAATTAAGTGGGCTGAAAACAGCTGCTTTAGGAAAAAGAGGAGGAATGATAAGGTGGAGGAGCGTGGCCCTGGCTCCGGGGTCGGGGTCGCGCTGCCTGGTTTGGGTTTGGGTTTTACCCCAGCACCTGCTCCCAGCACTGCTGGATTATTTTTCCATTGGGTTCCTCTCCCCCTCCTGCCCCTGCGGATGCTCTGGAGCTGGAAATTCCCTGCCAGGGCCCTGCAGGCAGCAGCAGTTTCCTCCAGAGCAGGCCAGGTGGTTCAGGGGTCAGGTTTGGGTGAGAAAGGGAGCTCAGACTTGGGAGAGCACAGGGATACACGGGAGAGCATGGGAATTACATGGGAGAGCATGGGAATCACATGGGAGAGCACAGGAATATGTGGGAGAGCATGGAATCACATGGGAGAGCATGGAATTACATGGGAGAGCATGGAGCATGGAATTACATGGGAGAGCATGGAATCACATGGGAGAATATGGAATTACATGGGAGAACATAGGAATTCCATGAGAGAGTGTGGGAGCACAGGAATTACATGGAAGAACATGGAATTATATGAGAGAGCGCAGGAATACATGGGAGAGCATGGAATTACATGGGAGAGCATGGAATTACATGGGAGAGCATGGGAATCACATGGGAGACCACAGGAATATGTGGGAGAGCATGGAATCACATGGGAGAGCATGGAATTACATGGGAGAGCATGGAATTACATGGGAGAGCATGGAATCACATGGGAGAATATGGAATTACATGGGAGAACATAGGAATTC